TACTTTCGTTAAGGGTGAAGCCCCTGGTTACTCGCTCCACAAGTCTAACCGCCTGTAACTCCGTATTATGCTTAGACCGAAATCCAAATTGCACGTCAGGAATCACATGGTGATCTGACGTGAAATTCGCTAGGTGACGTAGAATCACCTTTTCAGCCAGCTTAGACGGAGCAGACAGTAGGCTGATGGGACGATAGTCCTAGGCGGAAATATCGAACCCACCTTCTTTGGAATCATTATAACTTACCCAGTCTTCCACGTCGATGGAAAGTACGGGGTCCTTAGCATGGCATTGATAATCGCCACGATATAAGTCAAGAACTTCCGTTAAAGCAGCTTCAGCGCCTTATTAGTGATTCGATCCTCCTCAGGCGCTTTACGCACCTTGAGGTCTTTAATATGACCTTGATGCTTTGCTGGTGTGCAATGCGGGATCTCGGGAGAAGCCGCTGATGTGCTGTGCAACTCTTCAGCTGAAGAATCTTCCGAAAAAGAATCTTCTGAGGAAGAATCACTAATGGCGACGCCGGGATCACTGACGCCGTTGGCCCTGAAATATCTCCTGACGGATCTTACAGTTTGTTGCTCCTCGTCGAGATCATTATCAAGAGCATAGTTGGGAGAGAACTGCATAGCATCAGCGAAACGTCGACCTTGTCCTCTGTCCTGAAGACTATGCCCCCAGAACCGTGGATGTTCAGGAGTTGTTCTCGCTTTCCGTTTCTGAGCGACTTCGCCACTTTCCAGAGAGGAGTACTTGAGTCAAGCATCCCCGCCAAAAGTCCGTTTCATTGCTCATTGCGGAATCCATGGAGAGCATTACTTCATGAACAGATTCGTCGCTCTGCGAATGTCATCAGGATGATTAGCGTATGGTATGTCATGAAATTGGACGTTTTTAAAAGTCACAAACTCATTCTGGTAGGTGTGCCAGCATAAATAAGTAAGGACCAAGTTTACAGGACAGAATCTGTCATCCGAAAATCAATTTTCCATCTCTGTAAGGGGTAATTTTTGGTTCCGGGGCAAATGCCAGGGATGTAAAAATTTTGTTGATCAAAATTCGGATTCATCGTCGAAACAATACATGGGCATACCATACTCCAGCATCTAGCATCCGAAATTCAATTTCTACGAGTCCTATGGGTAGTTTTTGGGCTCTGGGGTGAATATTAAACTGTCTTATCTCAAATTCGATTTATCACTCTTCATGGTCATCTGCTGAACTGTGCATACAAGAAAATATTGAAGATTAAACCGATCGATATAGCGATGCAGTTGAAAAATTGCAAAATGCAAATTACATGTTTCCAAGAAAAAAACTGCATGTACGAGGGACACTAGAAAAGAAATCTAGCTAGCCATGAAAAAAATAATTGAAACACAATCATGATATGCCAAATAGTTACGATGGCAGTTTTGATGGGGGTGTGAATCCATCGAAGATGATCCCAAAAACAGCAACAAATGATGGATGTCTAAAAAAGTTGAAGTCATAGTTCACGAAGATTCTGGTATAAATTTCTCTATCATTAGTATGACATTGAATATATGGTAAGCCAGTGTAATAACCATCGTGCACGACAATTTGAACATGAGTAAGGTGTCAGCCAAATGGGTTTCACGACTGATGACACCTGGACAAAAATTGGGCGTGTTGGAAATTTCAGAAAGTCATGTGGAAACTGTCACTTGCCAAAATCACGTAAACCTTTTTAAACTATTTATCACTTATCCGTAATTTGAATTTCTCTTCATTGATAATAGAGTGCCCATTCCTAGGCCAAACCCTTTTCAATGATTTTCTTTTGGCAAATTTAATAGTTTATTGATTGTATAATTTCACTCGCATTATATACTAAGTGACATATAAATCCGAACACCCAGTTTAAATGGTTTTATTTTAATAAAATTTGTATAAGTACTTAATGAAGCATAATAAGTAAATGATAAAAATTTCAAAATGATTTGCACTGCTTAAAGCCCTTTGACCTTTAATAATGTGTGGATGCACTCTGATGTGCTACGCATTCTCCAACGCCGCCTAGGCATGCTTCTGATCTGGTGGTCAATGTCCTCCTGTGGTATCTCATTCCAGGCAACCACCAACTCCTCTCGAAGTGCTTCTAGAGTCTGAGGAGGACGTTGCAAATTGAGCAATCTCCTACCCATCATATCCCACACGTGCTCAATTGGGGATAAGTCGGGAGATCTTGGTGGCCATGGTAACAATGTGACATCATTATGTTAAGAAGTCTATTGTGACTCTTGCAACATGTGGTCGGGCATTATCTTGTTGGAAAGTTGGATCTGCCAGGGTGTCAAGATAGGGTAAAAGATGGGGTTCTAGAACTTCGTGGATATAACGCTGCGCGTTCATGTTACCTCTGATGAAGGTTAAAGGAAACCATAAGCTATAGCACCCCAAACCATAACTCCAACAGTTGTGATGAACAGTCTTTCAACAAAAAACTGTGGATTCCTCCTTTCACCACGTCGCCTTCTAACCCTGGCACGACCATCGTGAATGCCTAAACAAAATCTAGACTCGTCACTAAAGACAATCCTGATCCCAGAGTGACCGTTGTCTGCACCACTCAAGGCGATTACGTCGGTGTTCTCGAGTTAAAGGGAGGACCCAGTGTGGCCGGTATGAAAACAAGCCAAAACTTCTCATTCGTCGGTAAACACTTCGCTTGCCAATAGGTCTTCCGTGTTCTGCAAACCATGCATTTGCAATGGACCTGGTAGTAGAGAAACGGTCCCTTAAGGCAATAATCTTAGGCGGCGATCTTCACGGTCCTGTTGTTCTACGGCGGCGTCCAGTGCTCCTTGCTCTTTGCGTACGTCCTTCTCGAAGCCATGCCTGACAACACCTAACCACAGTGTCTACACTTCTTTTGCACTCTAAACTGCAATTGCCCGAACTATTCAGCTCCCGAAGTCCCACTATAGGCCCCTATCAAAACTCACTAAGTTGACGAAAATCGTACAGATCTCCGTACTCTAGGCATCGTAAACCGATCGTAAAGGATGTCAAGAAACCAAAATCCGCCAACGTTGATTCTTTACTGCGGTTGAAATATTCATTTTTAGAGCGTTAGTGGAATTAAAAAAAGCAGTATAAAAACGACGGAATGTTGCAACTGATAAGGCTGAAAATTTTTTCACTTGTTATTTACAGTAAGGATAAATACATTCACCAACTTTTATTAAAATAAAACCATTTAACCTGGGTGTTCATATTTATATGTCACTTAGTATATCTTTCTTTCTCAGCGCTTCAGTATGGTGTTGACGATCAGCAAAAAACTGTGTAGTTTTCATCTGTTAGTTGGGTTAATATAAAACATGATGTGAACAGGGTTTTTTCAAGGGGATGCTTCCACCAATTTGCAAAACTGCAAAAAGATGCAACCAAGTGAAAAAAAAAGGATGATGATTCTCTTCTGTTTCTATTGACGCTGAGGTCAAAATCCCATAAAAAAATGGAAGACGTAGCACCCAACCAAAATGACTAAACTTAAGTTACACCAAAAAAATGGTGCTAGTCCATGAATTGGCGCTTGGAGCCTAATATCCCAGAGTCCGGAAAATGACGAAACGACCCCCGCACCACGACCTCAACGGAAACAGAAAAGCGAATCACGCAGAACACGTAACGTTCTAGAAGAAGGTATCATGAGTGGCCTTGAAGAAGATATGTTTTATAGGAAACCAACTACGGAGAAAAACTACACAGTTTTTTGCTGATCGTCAACACCATACTGAATCGCTGAGAAAGAAAGATATAATACGAGTGAAATTATACAATCAATAAACTATTAAATTTGAAAAAAGAAAATCATTGAAAAGGGTTTGGCCTAGGAATGGGCACTCTATTATCAATGAAGAGAAATTCAGATTACGGATAAGTGATGAATAATAAAAAAAGGTTACGTGATTTTGGCACGTGATAAAACATTGACCAACGACTATGATGGGCGACGAGACTTGAATGCATCAGTAGGAGCCTGAGACAGGATGAAAATACAAGCAATCGGACTCCACCCCCAAAAAGACAGGACGCAACCCTCTGTTGGAAATTGATGTCAACAGTTTCTTGCGACAGCAAGGGCATCCTTCTAATTGAATATATGCCAAAAGGTACAACTAAATTCAGACGTCTTTGCGAACACGTTGAAAAATTCACGTAAAGTAATCAACCAGAAAATACCGAGAAGTCTTTTTGCTGCATGACAATGTCACCTTGCATGAAGCTGCCAAAATTAGATCAATTACGGAAGAATGACTTGTCTCCGTCTGACTTCATCTGTTTAGATTACTGAAGAAAAATCTTCGATGGCCTAAAAGCAGCCGTCTATGATTTTTTGAGAGTCAAGAGGAAACATTTTTGTATAAGCATGTAAGTTCTCTGGAGGAAAAATGGCGCCATTGCATTGATATTGAGCCCCCCTCGGGGTTATATTGAAAAATAAAATTATCAAAAACATCGTACGTCCTTTGTTTCTTGGCTAGGTATATTTCTTCTCTGGCACTCCTGGGATCATGATTGAGCAATTATGCATGTATAGGACGTCGTGTGGAATTAAGGCTCAATATTCATTAAAATATTCACTTTAATCATAAAAAAGGTAACGTCACCTGTATCGTATTTTTTTTTTTATTTGTTGCAGCATTAGCGCAAAACTGCTGCGATGTTGCCCGCTATTCTCACCCTTACAGCGTGCCTCTTCAAAATCAGTATTTCTCTAGGTTATGCAGTTTTGCTGATTAGTTTTTTCATTGCAATATATTTGTGGATATTGCAATCGTCAAGTCTTTATTTTTTGAGAAGCTACTACAACAACTAGTATTAATTAGCGCTTGGAATAAAAAAAGTCCAGTCAAGTAGATTGACTGTGTATTTCCCACGCATCGGTTGATAAATGATTCGGCACAGTTAGCCCTTCTGTATATTGAATTCCTGAGGGATTTGGGAGGCGAAATAAAACAACAAATTATAAATAATGAGAAATTCATTATCAAACAGGTTACATAGTGCTATATGGTTAAAACGGTACATTTAAGACGTAAACGTAAGTCAAATAGCATGTGAAAAAAAAATGGTTACACAACACTTTCAAAGTATGTTGCATACATGTAACGAAGATCGCAATTCGATGAAGTAGCCAAGACACACCCTAGCAGAATCCTCTGTCTTCGGTTCTCCTCCTTGGCGCCGCTTTGATGATGTCATCCACGCGCAGGATCATCTCGGCAGCTTCGACAGCAGACTGCAGCACTTGCCTCTCACCACGTATGGATTCTGTGACTCCCTGTGCTTGCAGGTCCGCCAGTTCACCCTTGTCCATGTTCAGACCCGTCGTATATTGCCGGCGTTGTGGGCAGCCTTTAGTTCGCTCACCAGTTGAGCAGAGTCGTAAACCAGCGTTGTCTGCTATGATCGTGGGCAACTGGAGGAGAGCTCTAGTGAAGGCTTCCATTGCAATTGCTTCTTTGCCTGGAAGAGATTATGACCGTTTAAGTAAATCAATTTTTTATACCCAGGCAACCACAATAGCCAGAGCATCGAAGAAGAACCCCCAGCAAGTAATGAGAAAAATCCACAGCGGATGCATGGCAACAGACAAAGATTACTAAGACGAACAAAAAAGACGCAGAAGGTGATAAAGACGAAGAAAGACGGAATACAAAATGACCAATAGACTAAAAGGCGGAGTTCAATTCAAATTCTTTATCACCCTTAACAACATACAGGGTTTGTCCGGAAAGTAATAGGACTGAGTCGATTTAAAAACATTTATTGAGCCAATCGTTACAATTTTTAAAAACTTTCAAAATAGGCTCCTTCTGCGTCGATGCAGCGCTGCCAGCGCGATTTCCAATTATTGAAGGCGTCACGGAAGGCATTCTCCGGAATAGCCTTGAGAGCCGCTGTGCATGCTGCTTGGATCCCGCCTGTCGTCTCAAAATGCTTGCCTTCATCGGCCTTGTCTAGCGAGGAAACAAAAAAGTCCGGGGGGCACATCTGGGCTGTAGGGCGGCTGCGGAAGCGTTGGGATGCCGGCCTTGGTCAGGTAGCTGTTCACAAGAAAGGCGGTGTGAGCCGGGGCGTTGTCGTGGTGCAACTTCCAGTCGGCTGCGATGTCCTGTCGGACCCGACTGACCCTTCGTTTGAGTCTCCTGAGCACTTCCACGTAAAACTTGACGTTGACGGTTTGTCCAGGAGGAACAAATTCATGGTGGACGATGTCTTTGATATCAAAAAAGACAATGAGCATCGTTTTCACTTTGGATTTCCTCATTCTTCCCTTTTTTGGGCGAGGAGACGCCGTCGTGTGCCACTCGGAAGATTGCCTCTTTGTCTCGGGATCATACTCAAAGATCCACGACACCTGGGTAAGCCTGCTTGATCATATCAAACGTGTCTGTCGCAGATTTGCCGAGTTTCACACATAATTTAATCGCGTACCTCTGCTCTAACGAACGCTGCATTTTCGGCTTGCACCACTCACAGAAACACGTCGCGCGAAAATGCCGGTCCAGACTCTCCAAGTGTTCGGAGACAACTGACCAGCCGCTCATTCGTTAGCTAGGAACGCCCTCTACGGAATCCGCGCACGCTTCAAAGTACAGTCATGGCGGAAGAAAATGAGTCCTATTACTTTCCGGACAAACCTGTATGTATAACATTCGTCAAATTTACCAATAATAATACAACACCAAAAGACAGGTAGGGTAGATAATACACAAGGGCAGAAAAGACAGACAGATAAGACGTAAAAACAAAACAAACACTGAAGAGACTGAACAGAGTGAGAAGACTGAAAAGAAAGTCCGCAAAGAAAGATCGCAAAGACGAAAAAGACGAAAAAAACGAAAAAGATGAAAAAAACGAAAAAGAAGAAAATGACGAAAAAGACGAACAAGACGAAAAAGAGGAATAAGACAGAGAAGACCGAAAATTTCCGAAAGACTGATGAGATTAAAATGACTGAAAAGTACGAATGAAAAGATTGGCAGACATAGACAGAAAACGCAGACAGAAAAAGCAGACAGACACACAAACAGATACGACAGACAGACAGAAAAGGCAGACAGGAATACAGAAAAGGCAGACAGGCATACAGAAAAGGCAGACAGACAGACAGACAGACAGAAAAAGCAGACATGTGCACAAAAAAGCTTGAGCCATAAATTAAGGATAGCTTGAACCACGGCTGAAGGATAGCTTGGATCATGGCTTGAGGATAGCTTGAGCCACAGCTTGAGGATAGTTTGAGCCATAGCTGTCTGTCTGCCATGGCTCAGGCTATGCTCAAGCTATGGATAAAGCTATGGCTAAGACTATGGCTAACGTTATAGCTCAAGCTATGTCTCAGGCAATGCTCAAGCTATGCTAAGGCTATGACTCCAGCTATGTTCAAGCTATGTCTGCCTTTTCGGTATGTCTGCCTGCCTGCCTTTTCTGTCTGATTGTCTGTCAGACTGTATTTTCTGTCGTCTACCTTTTCTATCTGAGCCTTTTCTATCTACCTGTCTGTCTTTTTTGTCTTTTTTTGTTTGTGTCCGTATCTGTCTGTTTTTCTCTGTGTCCCGTCTGCCTTTCTGCCTTCATTTGTCTTTTTTGTTTTTACTGTCTTTCCTTTTCTTGGATTAACATAGAAAATTCGTGAATGAAGGGTAGCTCTCTGAATGGAAATTTGCATTTGTCGCTGCCACAGTCCGGCTACTCCTAAGAAACGAATAAAAAAAAAATCTCCAACGATTTTCAGATAATCCGAAGAATGTTCTCCACTTTTGTTAGGTCAATGAAAGCAAACGGCAACTGTAACATTCCTCGCAGCGACCTCTCTTGGTATCCCTCCTTTTTGCACTGACAATAAATATATACTAAGTGACATATAAATCCGAACACCCAGTTTAAATGGATTTATTTTAATAAAAGTTGCTGAATGTATTTATCTCACTGTAAATAACAAGTGAAAAAATGTTCAGCCTTATCAGTTGGACATTCCGGTTTTTATACTGCTTTTTTTTAATTCACTAACGCTCTAAAAATTAATATTCCAGCCGCAGTAAAGAATCAACGTTGGCAGATTTTGGTTCTTGACATCCTTTACGATCTTTTACGATGCCTAGAGTACCGAGACCTGTACTTCGGGAAGCTGGACTTTCTTTTCGGGCAATTGCAGTTAGAGTGCAAAGAAGTGTAGACACTGTGGTTAGGTGTTGTCAGGCATGGCTTCGAGAAGGCCGTACGCAAAGAGCAAGGGGCACTGCACGCCGCCGTAGAACAACAGACCGTGAAGATCGCCGCCTAAGATTATTGGCCTTAAGGGACCGTTTCTCCACTACCAGGTCCATTGCAAATGAATGGTTTGCAGAACACGGAAGACCTATTGGCATGCGAAGTGTTTACCGACGAATGAGAAGTTTTGGCTTGTTTTCATACCGGCCACACTGGGTCCTCCCTTTAACTCGAGAACACCGACGTAATCGCCTTGAGTGGTGCAGACAACGGTCACTCTGGGATCAGGAATGGAACAGTATTGTCTTTAGTGACGAGTCTCGATTTTGTTTAGGCATGCACGATGGTCGTGCCAGGGTTAGAAGGCGACGTGGTGAAAGGAGGAATCCACAGTTTTTTGTTGAAGACATGTTCATCACACTGTTGGAGTTATGGTTTGGGGTGCTATAGCTTATGGTTCCAGGTCACCTTTAATCTCATCAGAGGTAACATGAACGCGCAGCGTTATATCCACGAAGTTCTAGAACCCCATCTTTTACCCTATCTTGACACCCTGGCAGATCCAACTTTCCAACAAGATAATGCCCGACCACATGTTGCAATAGTCACAATAGACTTCTTTCAACATAATGATGTCACATTGTTTACCATGGCCACCAAGATCTCCCGACTTATCCCCAATTGAGCACGTGTGGGATATGATGGGTAGGAGATTGCTCAATTTGCAACGTCCTCCTCAGACTCTAGAAGCACTTTGAGAGGAGTTGGTGGTTGCCTGGAATGAGATACCTCAGGAAGACATTGACCACCTGATCAGAAGCATGCCTAGGCGCGTTGGAGAATGCGTAGCACATCAGGGTGCATCCACACATTATTAAAGGTCAAAGCGCTTTAAGCAGTGCAATCATTTTGAAATTTTGATCATTTACTTATTATGCTTCATTAAGTACTTATACAAAATTTTATTAAAATAAAACCATTTAAACTGGGTGTTCGGAATTATGTCACTTAGTATAATATCCCTCACCTGGAGTAGTAGCGGCGGCTTTTGTAACAGCGACCGCCATTGCAGTCTCCGCGCAACCTCCTCCGCAGATGATCCTGCTCTCCTTGACAGTAGCTGTCAACACGCAGAGCGCATCATGCAAGGAGCGCTCCGCCTCGTCGACGATCTGCTGCGTGGCGCCCCTGATTATGATCGTGCACGCTTCACCAAGTAGCACGCCGCTGAAGCGGAGCAGTATGTCTTCGCCAATCATCACCTGGAACAAAGATTTCATAATTAATAGCTGTTTTTGACGAGAAACCCGTCATAACCCAAAATGAGCAACTAATATGATATGTTATACCACGCGTATCCCAGGGAAGATTTTGGATTACATTCTTTAGGGAAAATATTTTAATTATCACTGTCTTTTTTTGAAGATTACAGCATCTAGATTTCTTCTATTTTCTTGCCTGAACTCATTGAATCTGTTTGTAGTGTCTTGCATAATGCTGAAGAATGGATGGTCACTTTGTGGTACTTCGAGGTGAATATTTTCATTCAAGTCAGTGATATTCCTTGGGGGTAATGAAGGAAACTTTGGCTCTAAGATTCTCTATCCCTCTCCATGGGGGGAAAATCTGGTGCCTGCAGTGGCCAAGTAATATCACCAAGGTGGATAACCATTTTAATGAAAATGCAAGAGCTGAAATGATAACTGTTACCAGTGATGAACATTGGCAAATAGTTGGATAAATATGCTTTTACCAAAATAATAAATTCAGTAATTTTACATTCTGGAATTATGCTTACAGTTTATGGTGCAAGGGCCACCATTGCTCAACTATATAAAATTTAATGTCTTACTTTGATGTTACTGCATAATTACTGTGATTACCAGATTTATCCTCCACAGACTCTTCCTATGAATAGCTCAAAGGTGAAATTTACATCGAAACTCTGAGGAATATTGTGGGACTGAAAGAAAATGTCATTCGCGAAATAAACGAAATTAAAGTTGCTATATTTCAGCAGTTTATGCAAAACATGATAGGCATTACACAAGTGGTTGCAACAAAATGGAAGAAATCGCGTTCAAAAAACGAGATCCATATTTCTGGAAATTCATTTGCAATAAAAGGAATTGTCCCCAAATTTTTCGCTAAAATGACCACATTTTCTTAGACCATATGAAAATTTGATATAAGCATTTTGAATCTTTTGTAAGAAAGGTACGTCTTCAGATGTCACATCTATGTAAGCTAAAGAAGTATCAAAGAGTCACATAATTTCAGTTTCGCTTTTGGTATTAGACAGTGTTTTGGATATTAAGGGCTTTTAAGCTTTTAGCCTGACATATGATGTTTTTAGTAGTTGTTTAATATGCACTGTGAACTTATCATCCAGGTAGCATCCAAGATTTTTATGGCTTTTTTTGCAATTAGATTAATGTTGATCACAAATTTTTTTCATTATTGATTGCGTCACTTCTCTTCAAAATGTTACTAACTCTGTTGGTGCTAGTAATTTTTGGCACATATTTGTTGCTTACCTGTTCAATAAGGTCACATTTTCCTAGTCGTACTGTCTCTGGTGCATCAAATGTTGACACAATTTCACCACCTGAAATTAAAAAATAGCATCAAGTATGATTATAATCTCTGAACTGTCCGTTTTTCTCTACTTCAAAAGAGTACTTGACAAACCACGCCACAGTTTCGAAAGAAATCTTAAAACTGAAAGCTTTACCTGTCACCAATGCCAGCCTCTCAATTCCATCAAAATCAGCATGTTCTATCGCCATGATACCAGCATCAGCAAACAGCTGTTCCGGATAATTGTAGATGAGCTGCCTATTGATGAACACATTACATCCATGTTTCAAGATCTTGTTCACTTTATCTTTCATTTTCTCCTTTTCTGCAGACTCCAGTTCTGCTATCTTTGCCATTGAATCCACCTAACAAAAAAAAAATTATAATTATTATCCAGAAAGAAAATATGAAGAAAATGTAGAGAAACATTTGGTTGAAGCAGCAAAACAAGTACATATTTGCTAACCTTAATATGTGATCCAAATACTTTGATTTTGGTCTGTGTCCATGGGAGTATTAGCTATCAAGATCTTAGCATTTTCTACCCGTTGGGGTTGGTGAACTCCTGGTTTTTATCCAGCAAAAACCTTCATCCAAGAATGAGTCTTCCAAAGTACCTCCTGTCTTCTTAATAATTTGGATAGCCTCAAATACAAGAAAAAGCAGTATAAATTTGTCATAATAAATGATTATTATAAAATCTGTTAAATTAATAAAACCCAAGCCATGACTTAGATTCTGCAAAAAGTGTACCTGTAGATCTCCTGAGCCTTTCATCTCAACACAGCATCAACAGCTAACTTGCTGAAATGCTCTTTATGTTGACTCAATATCTTTGAGCTCAATGTTGTCCTGGCAATGTTCATCAGATCTTCACGAAACTTGGCTAAATCAGCACTGTTGTCTTTAGAAATGTTATATAGTGCTGTTTTAGCCACATCTGTTGCTTTTCTCCACCCAGCAATAATTGGTCTGAGGATGTATCTTCTGGTCAATTAGACGCTCTGCTTCTTTCAGTAATTCAGATGCTGTAAGTGAAAATGTATGAATTTTAAGCCCTCCACTAGGGAAGAAATATGGCGAATTACAACCAAAGATCTAGGAGGCCTACCCAATACTGTGACTGATGTTGTTCCATCTCCAACCTCATCATCTTGTACCTTGACATATTAAACCAAAATCTTTGCAGCTGGGTTATCACACCTACAGCTTTAAGAATTGTAGCACCATCATTAGTCACTTCAACACTGCCTGCATTTCTGCCGCTTGACACAAGGATTTTGTCCATTCCTTTTGGGCCCAAAGTGCTTTTACCAACTCTCCAATAGCTATAGCTCCTACAAAGCTGCTCAATCTAGCTATTTCAGCTTTCTCCTCTTCTGCTTCATGTTTAAGTACTCTGACTGGGTTTAAAGACATCTATGGAAAATGGCAAAATAGTAGATTACGCATTTGGTATAATCTTTAAATCGAAGATAGTATGCTATTTATGATTCCGATGCATCTGGGTAGCAGAATTAATATATTAACACAAAACTGAGCCATGCACGTGTGCACCGGCACACCTGGCCATAAATCCCTAAAATGTCGAATGAAATACGAACAGGTTTGGATGTTCTAAATATTTTTAAAGAGGACAAGCTAAAATAAACTAATTTACCATTTTTAAGCTCCGTACTTATTGAATAAATCGCAAATTTCTAAAGTTATTAAAAGCAGAAAAATATCAAATTTTTCAACACTGAGATGGATAATGGATATAGTCAATTGTCAATGTCAGTATGTCACAATTGACACTACAGCACAAAACATCTACAAACCACAATTGATTGTTTATCCGTATGGAACAGCACATACAACAGAAACAGCACGGAAGGAAAAGAACTACAGGTAACAAATACACCTCCGCCATTTTCCATTCATGAACGTGACTACCACTTTGCACATGCTAAGTGCATAGCAGGGTACGAGGGTGATCCCAGAGTACCACGACCCAACAAAGAAAACACAAAAATGTTGTAAGAAAATGTATTTATTTTTCACATAATCTCCTTGAGCTCTATACACTTTTCCCAGTGATGTTCAATAAGTTCGATACCCTTTTAATAATAAGACTGTCTTGCTCCTTGAAATAGCCATTAATTGCCGACATCACTTCTTCATCGTTGGAAAATCTTTGACCACTGAGCCATTTTTTCAAGTTGGGAAACAGAAAATAATCCGAGCGGCTAAATCTGGTGACTAGGATGCATGAGGTAGCAACTCACACTTTAATTCGTTAATTTGGGCCATAGTAATAACGGATTTGTGAGCTAGTGCATTGCCTTGATGAAACAACACTTTCTTCTTTACCAAATGCGGCCGTTTTTGTTGATTTCATCGCTCAAAACGTTGCAATAAGTTCGCAATAATACTCGCTGTTAATAGTTTTAAACCTTTTTCAAGATAGTCAATGAAAATTATCCACGCGCATCCCAAAAAACCGACGCCATAACCTTGCCTGCAGATGAAACGGTCTTCGCCTTCTTTGGAGCCAGTTGTCCCTTTTAAGTCCATTGTTTTGATTGTTCTTTTGTCTCTGGTGTGAAGTGATGGACTCATGTTTCATCCATGGTTATGAAATGACGCAAAAATTCTTGTGCTGTAAAACTTCGCTAAACACTCAACTGAAACATCGTCACGACACTGTTTTTTGCTCGATTGTGAGCAATCGCGGCACCCATCTTGCACACAGCTTTCTCATGTCCAAATTTTCAGATAATATGCGATGAACCACACTTTTTGAAATGCCTACTATGTCTGCTAGCTCGCGCACTTTCAGTCGACATCATTCAGTACCGCTTTTGTGAATTTTCTTCACCATTTCTGGAGTCGTCACCTCATTTGGTCGACCACTGCAATTCTCGTCTCGACAGCTCCTACGGCCTCGTTTAAACTCTTCTACCCAATATTTTACTGTTGTAAACGAAGGAGCAGACTCACCCATAGTAGAATAAAGTTCAGCTTTTATATTGGTTGGGCTGAGGCCTTTGAAATAAAAGTATTGAACCACATAACGATGACCAATTTTCTCCATTTCCGAAAATTCACTGAAAACGTTCAGTATTGATGGCTGCCAAACAAATACTAAACAACGTGGCGTCTTCAAACTTGACATATATGCTTTATAGGTTGCATACTTTCTAATACAATGATATTTTTCAAACAACTATCGCCAACTCTAGGTCAGGCCGGTACTTCTGGGACCACCCTCGTATATGCACCTAGCATGAAATCACAGCTCGAGGAAAAGGCGTCTACGCTTTGAACGACTGACTCATTTATTCAGATACGTCAAACAACAGGGACGTATCTATAGTTCGTATGTGAGTTCACATATACACTGAAAACGTCAGCCAAATTTGAACTTCAATGTGTATGATGAATTAACTCGCTCAAAAAAGTATTCGGGGAGACTCAGGAATCATGTTCAGGAAAATGCCCGTCTTGGGAGGGGAGTAGGTAGGGTTTGTCTGTTCTAGAACGCCCTTGAGAGTCGACCTTGGGAACCAACCTTGAACGCATATTTAACCTCGAAATGTGACCTTGAAATGTAACCTTGAAACATGGCCTTGAAATATGACCTTGAAATGCAACCTTGAATCGAAATATAGCCTTGAAATGTGACCTTGATATTGACAAATGAAATTGAAATCTAATGGCCTTGAAATATAACCTTGAAATGTGACCTTGAAGTCGTGAGTGGTAGAAGGATCACACTTGAAAATATGTCTTTAAATTAGTGCAGCGCTCGGAGAGGAAGCAGTTGTTAGCAGACAGCACGAATCAAACAATGAGTGCAAGACAAAACATTTAAGTTGCCGACGGTGTGGGAGGGAAGCCGGTTGGCGGTTTTATACGCCCATTCAACAGAATGCATCCTGAAGAAGAAAATTGGGACGACCCATGGCCTAGAACGCATATGGGCACCACACCGCCGCATCAACCATCTGAGTCCAGAACACCTATGAACACCACACCGCAGCATCCTCCATCTGGGTCCCGAACACCCATGGACACCACACCGGTTAGCCGATATGGAGTCAGGAATCCGGCACCGGAAGTGGCAGTGGAAGAGAATTGGATGAGAAGCAGGTTCTATTCGGATCAGTTGATTCAGGCGCCCATGCAGACGTTATACCTCCAGACATGGTCGTGGTGCGAGACTAAGATGGATATACAGGAGAGAATTAGGTTGCGACAGGTGCAGCAGTGAAGGAGCAGGTTTCAGAGGGTGGAGGTATTGTTGCAAACGGAAGCAAGGTTTAAGAGAGTGGAGACAATGTTGGTAGAAGGAAAAAGTAGTTGGGGGGTGACTAAAAAGTGCACCAGCAAAAACATGTGCAATGAAGGTGAACATATAAGTATTATTCCAAAGACCGCATCCTTCAATGAAACAAAAAACAAAGTGTTGTACATATCATGTATGCATGGCAATATGCATATAGAGAAGCTCGAAGAAGTAACGGGGAGATGGCAAGATGATGTATTTCAAAGGCGAGTGCAACTAGTCGAAGAAGTGTTAAAAAAATACTTGACAGTAGATACAGGCAAACAGTGTTTACAGAAAGGTTTAAAGTGTAAATTATTAAATGGAGGTATGTCTGTGATATGTATAAAAGTAGTAAGAAGTAGGTTTAGTAAAATTTCGAGTATGTAATGTAATGTAAAATAGAGGGGAAGAAGCAACGCTTTGATGTATTTTAAACTAATACCGCTTGTCCGATAGGATATTGTGTAGTGTGTATGTGGAAAAAATACATTAAATGAAGAAAACATATGTTTATTGACAAAAATTATGACATGATGAAATTTTCATACAAATAAAAAACGTTAGACATCGCACACATGCAAATATCTGTTGTATGGTAAAAACACTTCGCCGGTGAAGGGGTGAGGGGGGCTGCTCTTCAAGCTCGATTATTGGTTTGCTGGTGAAGTTTCTCAGGTAGGCTGCTTTTTCACGTCCTTTCACATAAATTCTGTCTGCCCCATCCGCAATATGTTTAATAATGTTTCCAAACTTATGTAGGGGTGTAAACCCTGAATTCCAGGAGATACCATGGTAATTATCAGTCAACCACTTCGCCTGAATCTTCAACGGTGGTGGCAGCAGATCCCAAGGAAAAGGAGCTTTGAAAATATAATGACATAACCTAACACCATCATAGGCGCAAATTCTTTTGCGAGAAATTTATTATTTTCAATTTTAAATCCTTGAACATCCAAAACGACACTCATATTTGTAAGTTGGAGAATTTGTATATAGAATGCGTCTTTGACAATAGGAATTGAGTGCTTCTTTCAAACTTTGCAATTTCTGATAATACTCTCTGAGAGCTTGTCTGTAGGATGATGTCATAATGAGAATGAAGGAGATTTAGTCTGAACAAAGATATTTATATTGTGATTGGTCATGATTGATAAGCTCTATCGCTGTTTAACAATTTTGTTAAAGGGTTGTAGGTGAAAACGCGATCGTGTAGGATGAGACAGTAAGCAGATGTTTCCGGAGAACATTTTCACTTGTCTCAAATTCAATTCGCATAACCACCGATCCAGATTGGATACTTTCCTTCTGTTTTAGAGCAATCAATATGTGTGATAGGGGCAATAGAAAGGAAATCTTTTGGGGTAAAACAGAGGTTCATTTTCACTCTCATAATAGGAGGAGCGGAATTTTGAGTACATTTCATACAAGAGAGCAAATTTTTGGTTTTTAAAATCCAAAAAGAGATCATTATATGGGAAGCGGTCGGAGTTGAGGAAAACCCGAATATTGGTCAACTTGCAATGATCAAATTGTGACATATTGGAGGTAGATACTTGTTTTTTTATTAGTTTGAAAGGCTAGGATAACATGTCTAGGGGTCTCGAGCTTCGTTGTAGTTTTGACTGGCCAGGTGTGACGCGTTGTTTCAGGGAGTGATGGATACTCTACTAGTTCCCAACTGCGAAAATATAGTGGAATTTCCATGTTTTGTTGAGAATTTTTGTAAGAGCTAGTTGCTGAGAATGTCAACAGATACGTGGGGTACTCTCCACTGAATCTTATCAATCCGAATTTTTGGTTTTTCGGATGTAGTAGTTGCTACACAGCATCAAGGTCTGACTACTACGGATTAATACTAACTCCTGTTTCATATTGAGGAGAATTTTTCGATAGTCTTCAAAGAATCCCATCCACATGCTTAAAGGAATACAAACATTGAACTTGCCAGACTCAGAAATAAAAGTGTCTTTTGGGAACCAGCCAGCATTTTGCAAGCGTGAACTCTCATTTTCATTAAAAGACAGATACCCTTTAAGGGTGGAGGTAAGACCAACATTTCGAACGGAATCGACTACAACTCCGTTCAGTTCATAACGGAGCTCACGGAACAGAAAAGCAAAAGCGTTATTGATTAATTGCAGAGTTTTAACAGTAGTTCCATCAGCGTTTTTAGTCGTAACAGCAGTTCCATCGGCTTTGGTTATTCTCCTTCGAGATACAAAAGACTTTGTGACGGGAGGGTATAGGCATCTAGTTCTTGAACAGCAATGCGAATTTCATCGTTGTAGTCAAGTTGGAATTGATAAAAGGTTGATAAGTGTGATACTCTAGTTCTGTAATAGAATTATCACAAGAGGTTTTTGTGTAACGTTGAGAATACTCATCCTACAACACGTGAAACCTAGATTTTCCAAAAATTTTCTATTATCGTTAGTAAGTTGCAATGTTGATTGTTGTCGAAATGATCTTCTGCGTATGCGGGACGGCTTACCACTAATAGATGGTTTCGACTGACCTCGCTTTTTATAGGGAAAAGAGATCGGAGGCGCGTAATATCTAATGCCCATTGTTACCGGATCGTAAATGAAGTCGAAGTGTAATGGTCTCGTTACGAAAATTAATTATGTGACCGTCTTGATCAACAATGTTGACGGTAATGGTTGTGATTGCTTTAACACTCACTGGGAAATATAAAATATTTTGAGGTGATTCAACGATTTTATACCCGGGCGAAACAGAGGGAAAAAATTGATGGATGATTGTGGCTTGGCACACCGTTGGAATATGAGCCTGTGGCTACATTGCAAGCAACACATATTGAATTCACTTTCAAAATTTGCACAGAAAATCAGACGTATGTCTAATGATTGGGTCAAGACGTCGAGGTTTAAATCCGAGAAGGGATGCAATGGTACCATTCTGTGAAAAATCAATCGTAAAATTGGCTTTGAGAGAAACTGTTGTGGAATTCATATGAGGTGTAATGCTAATAATTTTCCCTTCTGGGAGATTTTGATCTAAATAATCAATAATATCTCGAATTTCATATGCGCCTGTAGGAAATGTAAGTAGTTCATTGTCACATGGAAACTTATTATTAGTTTCGTCTATATTGGGAATAACATTGAAGGATTCAAAGTTGCACAACCCGATTTCATAGTCCACATTATCATCAAGATATAGCGGGGGATTAAAATGTGATTGGAGAGTGGAAGAAGTTCCCGACAGCGTAAATGTGAGGGACGTCATTACTGTAGAACGTTTGAATTGCAACTTCTGTATTAGGAGTAACAGTAAGAAATATATAGAAATTGTAAGCATAGCTGTCCACAATTGTGAGCATTAAACTTTTGTATTGGAGTATAATTGTATACAATGCGAACATTTTTATCACTGCTACCAAAATATCTTATCAGCTGCAGTGGGGGGCGCAGATTCCCATATGAATCAAAGTATGAGACAAGATTGCCATTTTTCACGTATGCAACCCAATGAGTCCCGTCGCCAGGACGAGTCATCCAAATTAACAATTCCACTTCACAAGTCTGTATACCCTTTGGTAATTGATCTTTCATGAACACTCCTCGAAAAAAAGGAATGTTAAGTTGTTTTGCAAGGTAAAGTAGTTCAATATCGGAAAGCGCATGGATGGTAGGTGCCTTAGCATTTTTTTTTGTACGGTGCTAAAAAAACCACTTTCCGTGGGAGAAACCTTGCGAGAGGCTTCTAAAGCCAAGTTATGACGCTTCTGTTCCGCAAGTTGTGACTGATTGGCTTTAGCATCATTGACAGCTTTTGCAATGGAGGCAGCACCACCTCCAAGAGCTCCAAGAGCCCCGAGTATAGGTAGAAGTAAAGGTAGAAAGCCACCTGTTTTCGGTAGAGGCAGAATCCGCAAACGTCGCTTGGAACTTTGCGATTTTGGTGATTTTTTTCGCAAACCCTTTCCCATCTTGTTCAAACGTTTCTTTCTTTGTTGTGTACGATGTTTTCGCAGGCCAAAACCCATCTTTTTTTTAGCTTTCATTGCTCCAGCAACTCCCAAAGCTGCCATTCGTTCTCCAAAGAGCTGTCGGATGCGAAGGCTCGCTGTATAGCTTGATCAGCCAAAAGTTTGTCCGCTTGTTGACGCGCAGTGAG